ATTTTTCTTTTTCTCGTTAAATTAAATCATTTTTTTGTTTTTTCATTTTAAATCTAAGACATTTAAATATTAAAAAAAAACCGGTAGCCATTTTGTTTTATGCCTTTTATTTTCTCTTTCTCACACTCTCACACAAAACGATTTTTTTTTTTTACGTTTCTATATTAAAATTTTATTTATAGGAATAAAATAATTTAAATAACATACTTTGATGATCGTTACGATGATGATGATGATGACTTTGATGATGATGATAATAATAATACATAAAATCATTCGAATTTAAATAAATAAACAGAAGGAGGGAGGGGAGGGGGGGAGGAAAAATCAATAAGTCTTTCTTGTCTGTGTTTGATATTTGTTAACAAAAAAATAAAAATTTAAATGAGATTTAAATTTATTTATTTATTTATTTTTTATTTTATTTTCGCCTACTTATTATAAAGCTTGACAAATAAATTAAGGCCCCCCCAAATTTTTTTTTATTGGATAAATAAATAAATAAATGTCACTAGCGTTTTGGTATTCCCATTTTTTTTTTTTTTTTTTGCTTTAACAACTTTTTATTGCTAAATATTTTAAATAAAAATTCTTGTTTTCGTGTGTTTTTGAACCGAAACAAATTACTTTTTTTTTTTTTATGTAACAATTTATTTATTTATTTATTTAAATTATTATTAAATTTTAATAAATTATTATTATTTTTTAATTTAAATTTCTTTTCAAAATAAACAACAAAAAAAATTATTTATTGATAAGTACGTCATTTAAAATTTTCGGGTTTGGTTTTTTTTTTTATGAATAAAATGTATTATTATTATTATTATTATTATTTTTACAAAAGAGTAACAAATTCTTTATGATATTTACCGTAAGATTTCTAACGGATTTTCTTTTTTTTCTCGAAAAAACTTCGAAATCTGAACGTATCAGTTTAAAAAAAAAAGAAAAATTTTGTTTCAAAAATGTCGGTTTGCCTAACCGCATGACGTCATTATTTCTTTCATGATTTTTTTTTTTTCTTTTTAAATTTCTAGAAATCCTTTTCGAAAAATTTTAATATGTACTTTTTTCTAAGCTTAGGACCGGGAATTATTTGTTATTATTACAACGGGATTTTATATTTAAATAATTTTTTTTTTTGTATTTCGTCGTTTGCATTCATTTTGTAAGTTTTTGTAAAAAAAAAATGTTATCGCTGATGTTATCATCATCATCATTATTATTTTTTTATTAGTTTCAAGCGGCTTTATTACAAAGATGGAATTTACCAGAATTTATGTGTGCATTTTGCCCTTTCATTCACGTTCTTAGTGTTAACGTTTCCGTATTTACATTAACGGCAATTGCTGTTGATAGGCACAGAGCCATTTTATATCCTCTAAGGTAAGACCTTATAAATAATAATAATAATTATAAACAAATTTTTTTCCCCTTATCCATTAATTAAAAAAAAAAAAAAAAAAAAAAAAAAATTTAATTCCAGTCAAAGAATATCAAAAACGACAGCAAAAATGATAATAAGTGGAATTTGGGTTATATCCGGTTTACTAGCAGCTCCAATGGCGATTGCATTAAGAGTGGGTATAGTCGAAGATGCTCCGGGTCATTTAAAACCATTTTGTTATAATATTCATCTCGAGGTGAGTTCCCTCCCTCCCCCTCCCTTTTTTTTATTTTTATAATAATAAATTATTAACCGTAACACGTAGTATACGAACACGTGATCTCTCCATAATTACAAAATATTTTTAATATTTTCTATTAGGATTCATTCATGCGAGTAGAAAGTATTTTAAAAGTTATTTTAAAAAAAATTTATAATTGACTTTTAATATTAAAAACTAAACTAAAACTAAATTTTTCTTCTTCTTTTTTTGGAAAATTCATTTTTCTTTTATTACTTAAGTCATCAGTGAAAAACGCTTTTTAAAACTTTTAAAAACAAAGAAAGGAAAATTTTAAAAAGAATTTTTTTTTCTTTGTTTCTTTTAAATTTTAATAATAATAATAATAATAATAATAATAATAATAATAATAATAATAATAATAATAATAATAATAATAATAATAATAGGGAAATTATTCGAAAGTGAAATTTTCACGTGTTTTTTTTTTTCCAGGATATAGTAATGTTAGTGTACAGATTAGTTTTAGTTACATTACAGTATTTAATACCATTAACCGTTATAACATGGGCCTATGCAAGAATGGCACATACACTTTGGGGTAATAAAGCTCCCGGTAACGCTCAGGATGCCAGGGATGCTAATTTAATGAAAAATAAACAAAGAGTGAGTTTTATCATATACTACTACAACAACATTTATTTATTTATTTATTTAATATTTATTTACATAGGTTATTAAAATGTTGGTTATTGTTGTCGCACTTTTTGGAATATGTTGGCTTCCATTACAAGTCTACAATATACTTCAAGATATATTTCCACAAATAAACGAGTAATAATAAATGTTTAATTAATTATTTAACTTATGTATTATTAACGATACGATTTTATTAACTTTTTTCTTTTTTTTTCTTTTACAGATATAAATACATAAACATAATTTGGTTTTGTTTCGATTGGTTGGCAATGAGTAATTCATGTTACAATCCATTTATTTACAATTATTATAACGTAAGTTTAAATTTTTTATTATTTTCTTTATTAATAAATAAATAAATAATGATAATTTTTATTTGTTTTAATTATGGAAAAGGAAAAATTTCGACGGGAATTCAGATTCAGACTGCAAATATGTAGTTATAGAGTTAATTCTAGTTTTAGAAGGAATAAAAATAGTCCGGATAATTTTAATAAAAGTTTAAGAATGAGTAGATATTATGGAATGAAAACTAAATCTTCTCCAGGACAAAGTAAGTTTTTTTCTTTTTTATTAATATATTAACCCATCGAAATTCCCCGTAATGTTACACCTAATAAATAAAGGATATTATTATTATTATTAATATTATTGAAAGGAACGATAAAATAATAATAATAATACTAAACTTTTATTGGTTGTCCAGATCGTTTCGCACAACAACCAAATGCTTTCAAATTTTTTTTTTTTTAATAAAACAAATTTAATTAATTAAAATTATTATTATTATTATGTATTTGTTATTAATTAAAAAAATAATTAATTAATCGTACGCGGCGTACGAAAACGCAGCCTCGTGAAAAATAATAATAATAATTCACCAATCCTAGCATAAGAATTTTTATTTTTTTTAAACGCTAAACAAAATTTTTTTTTCTTTTTTTTTTCTTTTTCATTCGTTAAAGTAATATGGGGGAAAAAAAGGGTAGGGAGGGGAGGCAGGAGGGGAAATTTTTTTTAATGAAAATAACCTTTTTATAATCATCAGTAATAATTAAAAAAAAAAAAACCTTTTTTCGATCGGTAAACACGATCGAGTAATAAAAAAAAAAAAAGAAAGAAAATTTTTAGTTTGTCACTTTTTATAAAAGGTTTTTTTATAAAATTAAAACTCGTAACGGTTTAAAAAAAAAAAAAAAAGGCTTCCCGCGTTAATTATTATTATTATTATTAAAAAAGGTTTTTTACTTGTTTTCGACATATAAATTACTATTAAGGAAAGGAAAAAAAAATTTTACATAAAAATTGAAAGGATTTTCTTTCTCTATGATAAAGGTTGTAAAAAAAAAAATCTGTGACGTAATAATTGCCTTCCGGTCGAAAAATTTTCCCTTACGTTCTATAACCGTTAATTTAAACAATTTAAATAAAAGAACGTTTTTTTTTTTTTTATTGAAATTCATTTAGTTTCACGATTGATGACGTATGTCAAAATATTTTATGACGGTTAATAAAATCAAACGTGACCGATTTGAATAAATTTATTAACTAATAATAATAATAAAATTATTCGGATAAAAAAACTTGATTTTATGTAACGATCATGTTGTTGTGGTTGTTGTAATTTGACCTATGATGTCATTTAATGACCTTCCAAGTATTAAATTTATTCAAAAGGGAGGAAAATTTTTTTTTAAAAAAAAAAAATAATAATTTTAACGGTTTTTTTTTTTTTTTTTGTTTTGGCATTAAAATTTGAAAATTGTTCGGAAAATATGAATACACGTCTTATATTTGTTTGTTGCCGTCGTTGTTATTGATCAAAAATTTTTTTTTTACGATCGCTTCCGGTTTTTTTTTTTTGATGAATTATTTTTAGTTCGTGGCATCAGAACTGCCCATAAATTTTCATTTAAAATTTTTTTATTTTTCGATAAAAAACGATATAAAAACGCCCCTGATTTTTTTTTTTCTTCCACTTGACTTTTGCCTTTTTGCCTTTTTCATATAACGATGATGATGATGATGATGATGATGATGATGGCGGTGATGGTGGTGGTGGTTTTGTAAAAAAAAAAAATCCAATACGAGGGTGGAATTTTTCAACTTTAACCCCGTACAAATGACAATGACATTTTTTTTAAAACCATTTTCCCATCGTCTTTTTTTTTTTTTTACCTTTTTGTTTGCATTTTTAAATATATTTAAATTTAAAAAAAGAAAGATTGTCATGTTTGGTAGGATTTGTGTCGTTGAAAAAACCAAAGGTCATAGGTCAATATAAACAAAAACCAATATTGTTTGATTCGATTTCAAATGTTTTATTTTTTTTTTTGAATTATCGTTCGTATCACTATTATTATTATCGTTTCATTTTTTTTTTTATTTATTTATAATTATTGTCTTCTGCTTCGTAGAATTTCAACATTTTTTTGATTGACGTTAATCTTTTGTTAATAATAATAATAATAATAATAGTAAAAATGAATAAAAATTATTTATCTTCGCTTCATTTTTTTTTCTTTTAACGTAACGAAATAAAATATTTAAAAAAATCGATAAAGCGGAAATACTTGATTGTTTTTTTTTTGTAAGTCTTAACCGGAAACGCGTATCGTTTTATAAATAATATTATATTTTTTTTATTTTTTCAATATGATACGGCGCTTATTTTATTTTATTTTAAAACAAACGTCACAAAAACCTTTTTTAAATATTACCTTACTTAAAAATTGTTCGAAAAAATAAAAAAAAAAGTTAAGGGGAGGCAGGAAAAGAAGTAAGGAGTGGGGGGAGAAGGAGGATAAAGAAAAAGAGAGAAAGAAAGGAAAAAAAAATTTTCCGACTTTTTTCTTTTGTAATTTATTACATCGAAGGAAATAAAAATTTGTTTTTTTTTTTTTTTCGTTATTTTATTTTCGTCTGTTTTTTTCGGGGAGGGGGGGGGTTTTCAAAAGTTAAAAATAAAAAAAGAAAAAAAATTTTATTTTTTGTAGGTGTTCCGAAAACTTCGACGTCTGTTTTAACATTTTCCAGAACGGGTTCGATAACGAGAAGAGAATTTTCCGAAGTTAAAATAAATTTTTGAAAATTTTTTTTTTTAAAATTTCACACACGCACGCACGCACACACACATACAAACACACACTCGTATATATTTTTATACTTAAGTAAAACTCTTAACGAATTTTTATTTTTATTTTTCCGTTTACAAAAAAATTTACGAAGGGGGCGGTTAAATGGAAGACGGAAATTCGAGCTTAAGGAAAAATAAAAAAAAATTTTGTAAATAATAATAATAATAATAAAAAAAGTTTATTGGAAAAAAAAAAAAATTTTTTTAATTTTATTATCTCCCCCCGTATGCTTTTCCTAAAAAAATTTGTTTTTGAAGGGGATCCAATGTGCTCCCCTCCCTCCTTCTTCTTTCGCGTAAGTGTTATTGACAATTTTTTTTGAAAAATTACTTTTTAAGTGTTTGGAAAAAAAAAATTGATAATAATAATATAAAGAGGATAAAAATATACCGAAAATGTCACCGACACAGCAGAAACTTTTATTATTTTTTTTAAAAAGAATTTTCTTAAAGGAGAGGGGAAGGGGGAAAAAGTAAAAACAAAAAAAACCGGAAATTTTGCTTACGTTCAACATGTTTTTCTTTCTTTTTTTTTTGGGGCGTGAAATTATTCTTTTTTTTTCATTCGTCTAAAAAAGAAAAAGAAGAAAAAAAAAAAGAAAAAAGAAAAAAAAGAAAAAAACGTTAACGTTTTCATTGTTTCATTTTCAATGCGGTTGTTTAAAAATTTTCCATATAAGGCGGTGATTGATTCGAACTCAGCCACGACGCTTAGTTTAGTTTAGTTTAGTTTTAGTCGTTTATTAGATCGAACTATATAAAAATTTTCATTTTAACACCTGTCACAACACGATCAAGTCGTTTATAAAATTTTTTTTTCTTTTTTTTTTTTTGTTTTTCCTTTAATCAAAACGAATTTAAATTTAAAAACGCGAAATAGTGTTTTAATAGTGTTTTGTTTTTTGTAATCGTGTGGTAATTATTTTGGATTCTCCAGGAAATTCCAGCGGTAAGTACAAATTACATTTAAATCGTTTTCTAAATTTAATGTTTTTTCATCGAATCCCACACCCGATACCAATTTGTATGTTTAACTTATGTCTCGAACAACACGTAATCAAACGAAATTTGGATAAAGTTTATTTCCCCCCCTCGCCCCCCGCGCCCCGAGAAAAAAAGGATCGAAAGATTAAAAAAAAACTAAAACGAAACGTGTTACGAGTGTATAAATAAAGTCGTCTGCTAACAAAAATTTTACACGTAAAAAATTTTAATATTATTCATTCGATTTAAAATTTTTTTTTTTCATTGTCGTTTTTCTTTGAATTGCTCAACAGGTTTTTTCTTCTCAACTTCCTTTTTTTTTTTTTTTATTTAAATCGAAATTTTTTTTTTTTTGTTGGTTGGTAATCATGAAAAAAAGGGTATTAAAAGTTAATAAATATATTTAAATTATTATAATAAATAAAATTGCAAAAATAAATAAATAAGTGAAATAAAAGAAAATTCTTGAATAAAATTTTTATGTTTAGCTTAAGGTTCGTGTCCTTGTGGTTGTTGTTGTTGTTCAAATATCAATAATTAAACCGGAACCGGAAATAATGTTTTATATGAGTCATAACAAACGAGGGTACACTGATTTAAAGGTGTTATATATTTTTTTTTATTCATTTTATTTTTATGAGGAAAATGATAATGAATTTTTCTTTTTATTTCCGATTGTTCTTTACTCCTGTTACCCCGATAAAAATTCTTTCGAGTTTTTTCCTTTTTTTTAAATAAATTTAATTTTAAAAAAATTTGATTCTTCCTTTTTTTTTTATCCTTTGAAAAAGAAATAATCTTTGAACCTTTTTTCGATATTATCGGAATGTAAATTAAATGACGATTTTTTTTTCTTTTATTCGAATTATTATTATTATTTAGTTCGCCGATAATATCTTTTTCAGTTTGTTTTTTCATTTCAGACAATTCTTTCCATTTTCCAGAATCTATTAGTAATTTTTCAAAATTTTTTCTCTTCCCCTCTTCCTCCTCCTTCCTTCCATTTTTTTTTATTCTTGAACCTTTCAAAATAAAATTCGATTCATTCCAATTTTTTTTCTTTGATTTTTCTGCCGAGTTTTCATTCATCATTTTCCAAGGATTTAAAAAAAAATCTTAAGAAAAGAAAATTTTTTCTTTAGTAAGAAAATAAAAATTATTAACAAAATAAATAAATAAAAAATTATTTACCATTTTCCGACGGTTTAATTGGGGGTCCGCCATTCCCTTTTAAATTTTCTCCTTCCGTCAAATAATTTTCCATCATTTCATTTATTTCTTTCGGATTATATTGTCCGTTAATATTTTCATATTTCCCGCTATTTTCGTATTGTTGCATCAAATTATTATTATTATTATTATTATTAAATTCGTTTACTCTCTGTACGCCGTCGTCACCATACATATCATTCAGTTTTTCGTTATTGTAATAATAATAATATTTATTGTTATTATTATTATTATT